GGGGGGGTTGGGGTGGGCGGCAGCCCCCCCATCATAATCGAACAAGTGATGGTTCTAAGGGCAAAAAATCGAAAAAGATAGCGGGGGCGTGGCCCCCCCCAACGATGATTGAAAATTTGCTGATTCATTTAAAGGCGCGGGGGGGGGGGGGGGTTTGGGGGCCCCCCCATGATGATTCGTGAAAAAAGTGCATGATCAATTACGGGCAAAAAAATCTAAACGCAGCGGATTTGACAATAATATAATTTTTTTTCTTCCTCCCCCCCCATCATCAATCACCTAAAAATGTGATGCACCCCCCCCCCACCTCTCTGAATTCGAACATGGTGCAACCAATACAAAACATCATCTCATTATACCCCCCCCCCCCCCCCCCCCACCCCCCCCCCCCCCCCCCCCCCCCCCCCCCCCCCCCCCCCCCCCCCCCCCCCCCCCCCCCCCCCCACCACCCACAAAACCAACACAACCACTCCCCCCCCCACAAATACACACCCCCAACAACCAACAACAACAAACAACCTCCCTCACGTTCTAAAGGCCCCCCCCCCCCCCCCCCCCCCCCCCCCCCCCCCCCCCCCCCCCTCCCCCCCCCCCCCCCCCCCCCCCCCCCCCCCCAGTGCATCGCACCTCCTGAAAAAGAATAGACATAAGCCACCAATGATGATCGAAAAACAGTGATGATTCAATTGGTGCAAAAAGGTCCAAAATAGCGGGGGGGGGGGGGTTGGGGCTGAAAAAAAAATCTAAAAAATAGCGCGGGGGGGGGGGGCATGATGTTCAACAAAGTGGATCGAAAAGTTAGGGGCAAAGAGTGTAAAAAGTGGCTCTCGCATGATGATTGAAAAAATGATGATTCAAATTAAAGGCGCGGGGAGGGGGGGTTGGGGGGGGCGGCAGCCTTCCCTGCGCAAACATCTATGCATTTCATTCTACACTTGCCCCACGCATGCCTCTAGGCAATCAAATTGTCTACTTTCCGTGCGCGTGCCTCTATGCATTTCACTGTCTACTTTCCCTGCGCATACCTCGGCGCTTGCTCTACGCTTGCCTCTCTGATTTGCACTGTGCACTTTGCTTACGCATGCCTCTATGCATTTCACTGCCTATTTTCTCTGCGCAGTTGAGCTGCGCAGAACTCAACGACTCTACTACTGCGCAATGCTTCTAGGGAAAATGTAGATACGAGCGGGCTTTCAAGCAGCAATCTTGAGCTGGGAACGAAAAAAATGTAGTATAATTTTTCCATTCATACCGTTATGCTGTTGCGTGTTATGTTTTGCGCTTGTGTAATTTGTTTTCGCGCGTACTCGGCTTAATTCTGCGCTGATGTTTGTTCCTTGTCAAGTCTTTGTTCAGTTTGAACCGAGAAGTTAAAACAAAAACACATGCAGGAAGGATTGTGGCGCGATAGGCATTGAGCGATTGCGGAGGCGTGTTTTATTTTTTTATCTGTGTGTTTAATTTTCTTGCGCGATTCTTGCCCTATTACTTGTTCATGGGCTTTGCAAGCCAAGAACTAAATAAGGTAGAGGTTGTTACGCAAAACGAGGCTTGGGGGTTGCGCGGGCTTGTTTAGTTTGTTATACGTGAGTTTTATTTTCCTACGCCATTTGCTTATTTCTGCGCACGCATTTGCTTATTTTTGCTTTCGTCATTTTTTATTTCCCCGCGAGCACTTTTATTTCCTCGCGGAACGTCCCCCCATACATACATACATACATACATACATACATACATACATACATACATACATATCATACATACATGCATACATACATACATACATACATACATACATACATCACATGCATACGTACCTACATACATGCATTACATTGCATTACATTACATTGCAATCCGTTACAATACATTACATTACATTGCATTACATTACATTACATACGTACCTACATACATACCTACATACATACATACATTACACACATTACATACATTACACACATTACATACATTACATACATTACATACATTACATACATTACATACATTACATACATTACATACATTACACATAATTACATACATTACACACATTACATACATTACATACATTACATACATTACATACATTACATACATTACATACATTACACACATTACATACATTACATACATACGTACATTACATACATACATACATTACATACATTACGTACATACATACATACATACATACACACATACATACACACATACATACATACATACACACATACATACATTACATACATACATTACATGAATACATTACATTACATTACATTAAATTAGGTTACATCACAATACATTACATTTTATTACATTACATTACATTACATTGCAATTACAGTAGAATTACATTACAATTACATTACATTAAATTACATTACATCACAATACATTACATTACATTACATTACATTACAATTACATTACAATTACATTACAATTACATTTCAATTACATTACAATTACATTACAATTACATCACAATTACATTTCAATTACATTACAACTACATCACAACTACATCACAATTACATTTCAATTACATTACAAATGCATGACAATTACATTACAATTACATTACAATTACATTACAATTACATTACAATTACATCACAATTACATTACATTACATTACATTACATTACATACCATACATACATACATACATACATTACATTACATTACATTACATTACATACATACATACATACATACATACATACATTGCATACATACATACATACATACCATGTACATACATACATACATACATACATACACGGACAATGAAGCGGACATACCGAGAAAATGACAGGGACATGAAGGGGGAGTTGAAAGGAATGGAAGGGACATGACCAGCACATCATGGGAAACGTGAAAAGGACATGAAGGGGGAATCAAGGCGGGGAAAGCCAGTAGTGAGATGACAGTTCAGGGTCGTGAAGGGGCAGCGCCCGGAGATCGAGGCAACTCAGGGGGGACGTGACGCTGCAGAGCGGGGTTGTAGCGTGGGAGGGGCGGACGGATAGTGAGCGTGGTGTACCGCCAATGGGCAGAGCTGGGGGGAGCGCACAGATGGGGAGCGGTTCGAGAGCCGAGGCGGATGCGGGAGAGGGAGAGGAAGGAGGGAGAGGGAGAGGGAGAGGGAGAAGGAGAGGGAGAGGAGAGGGAGAGGGAGAGTGACGAGGGAGAGGGTGAGGAGAATTGGAGGAGAGGATGAGGGGAGAGGGAGAGGGAATATAGATGAGAGAGAGAGATGAGACCGATTGAGAGGTAGAGGAGAGAGAGAGAGAGAGAGAGAGAGAGAGAGAGAGAGAGAGAGAGATAGAGAGAGACAGAGAGAGGGAGATTGAGGAGAGAGAGAGGCTTGGAGGGATGGGGAGGATCGGGAGCGGAGAGAGGGAGAAAGGAAGGGAGACAAGGGAGAGATGAAGAAGGAGAAAAGGGAGAGGACAATGTCGGCGGAGTGAGCCGGAGGCTCTAAAGTATATTGACCCATTGAATTCAAATCTAAGCAACTGAATCACATGCAACGTCAAGGAAGTTTTTGAAGAAAACAAGGTGTGCTGGAACATATACATTGGTAGGCGGAAGGGTTTATTTTTGTTTATAGGTTGGCCGCGGCCTTTTTTTCTAGGTTCGGCGCGGCAGAAAAGAAATAGCCGCAAAGGGTTCACTTTTTCGATCAAGCACAATGGGGTTGGGCCGGGCTTGGGTTTCTTTAGGGTGGGTTTTTGGCTTGGTTCAGGGTTGGTTTAGCGCTGGTTTAGGGTGGGCTTCGGGTGGGCTGTGTAGTATGGATCCAGGGTTGGTTCAGGGTTGGTTTCGGGTGGATTTGGGTTTGCTTAGGATTTGCTGGGGTTGATGTTTGGTGGTTTTTGCTCTGGTTTACGGTGGGTTTAGAGTTGGGCTTAAGGCTGGTTCAGGGTTGGTCTAGGGTGGTTTAGGGCTGGTTTTAGGATGGTTGAGTTGGTTTAGTGGTGGTTTAGCATGGGTCTAGGGTTGGTTTCGAGTGGGTTTCGCTTCGTGCGCTGGTTTACGGCGGGTTTAGGGCTGGGTTTTGGGCTGGATTAGGGTGGGTTTAGGGCTGGTTGGCTCGTTTGGGATTGGCTGCTGATTAAAGTTGGTTTTGGAATGCCCCATTGGTGACTTGGGGTATAGGTTCTTTAGGGTTGGCATAGGTGCGGGTTTAGCTTGTGGTTTTGGCTGGGTTAAGTGGGGGGTTGGAAGACAGCCCACCACCGAAACTCTCTAAGAATCTTGAGTGCCGCACTCATGAGGCAGAAAGCTGATGCCAGTTCATAGCTGTGTCTGCATGTCTGTGTCCCTGTGTCCGTGTCCCTCTGCATGTACGCATGTATGTATGTCTGTATGTCTGTATGTCCCCATGTCTATATGTCCGTATGTCTGGAGGTAGGAACATGTGTAGCTAGGCATACGCACATGCAAGCACACACGCAGGCGCATATAAATGGTCACATATACGTAAAGTTCATTGTCGGGCTAAGTCTTTAAGTTGCTAGCTGCGAGTCTTTCTACCTGATGTACGGTCTTAGTCTTGTATTTTCCAAGTTTTTCTGAGTTCCCCGGCCCCGTTCCGGCAAGCTTGACAGGCTCGGTAGCCGCAAGCTCCTTGCAAGATTGAAAGCCATGGCCCACCAGCCCGGCAAGGAAGACCAGTAAGATGACGGCCCTTCTCTTCATGTCCAGGACCTTGAGCCCCTTCTCGTCCTGAGCAGGAACAGATTCAGAAACATCCTTGCAAACACTGAGGTTGTAGCCAGAGAGCTCGACTTGTTGCCTGAGCTCAATGCATCAGGCATAAAACATACAAGGGCATTCCCCGGCAGCAGCCAGCCTGCTTCACCGTGGAGGGAACGGATCATTCTCGTCCGGCTATCAAACTGGCGGGCCAAGCTTGCATTCAAACCATGCCAAGCGAATATTTAATCTTTTGACACTGGAAAGCCTTATAATATAACAGCAGTGTGCGCAGTGCTCATGTAGAATACTAGATAGCTTGAAGGCTGCCAAGTGTGCTGTCCATGTGCTGGGCCTCAACATGAACACATTGCCGTGATCTGCTCGGTCAACAACTTCAACCGGGCGAATACTGACGGAAGGGCCTACGCCAAAAAGGGAGCACGGGATCTGATCTCTCGGCATCTCGAGCAAGGGATTTCCAAAGGGCAAAGGATCGAAGAGGCGAAAATACCACAACGGCAAAGGAAATGGTGCCATTGCTCGGGTGTATGTGGTTCTGAAGTGCCAAGAGGCATTGGGAGGTTGGGTTTCGATTGAAAGGCAATACTATCTCAAAAGTTGTTGCGAAGAGATATGACTGTGTGTGTGTGTGCCTTACCTCAACAAAGACACACCATCTGTCTGAGGGCATTGTGAGATTGACGAACTAGAAGTACAAGAAGGTCCCAGCATCCCCAGCATCAATCCCCAGCATCAACCCCAGCATCCCCAGCATCCCCAGCATCCCCAGCATCCCCAGCATCCCCAGCATCCCCAGCATCCCCAGCATCCCCAGCATCCCCAGCATCCCCAGCATCCCCAGCATCCCCAGCATCCCCAGCATCCCCAGCATCCCCAGCATCCCCAGCATCCCCAGCATCCCCAGCACCAGCATCCTCAACATCACCAGCATCCTCAACATCACCAGCATCCCCAGCATCCCAGCATCCCAACATCCCCAGCATCCCAGCATCCAGAGAAACGTGCCAAGCATAGGGTGAGGGGCGTTTCTGGAAACAGTCTGAGCTGAGTCAGAAAACAAGAGTCGAGCAAAGGAGAGAGTGTCACAAAACACAATGTCGTGTTCAGGGTCAGGTTCTGCAGGGAAAATAGGTTACCTAAGGAAAGGTTTGGCGCCACACACAATGTAAACAGATCGGCGAACCATAACCAAGCGCAAACCAAACCGAAACCAAACTAAACCAAGCTAAACCAAGCCTAAGCAAACCCGAAACAAACACTAAAGCAAACTTACCCTAAACTATTCCAAAACCAACCCTAAATCAAGCATAAACCAAAGCAAAAGCCAACTCAACCCTAAGAAGAACAAGAAACCTAATCCATCCCTAAAGAAACATAACCAAAACCAAAGCGACCTAACCCAACCTAGACAACCCTGAAACAAAACCAACCCTCATCCCAACCAAACCCGACCCAAAACCCACCCTGAACGAAGTCTAAACCAACCACAACTCCACCCTGAAAGAATATAAATCAAGCAGACAATAATCGAAACGAACCCAGAACAAACCTCGAACCAATATATACAAACCAACCAACCCCAACGAAACCTCAATCAACCCGGAACCAAACCTAAATCACCCCAAAGCAAACCTAAACCAAATTTAAACAACCCCAAACCAGCCCTAAACCCATCCTAGGCCAATCAAAACCAACACTAGGCAAACCTCAAACCAAACCGGAACCAACCCGAAGGCTGCCGAAAGCAAGCAGACCAAAGCAAACACGAAAATCCCGAAACAAACCCTATCACCAGCAGAAACCAATTCAACCCAATCTTGAACTAGACCTACACCAACCCCAATCCTACCCTAAACCGAAAATAAATGTGGCGGAACGACTCCAAACCGAGCTTCATCAAAACCGAAACACACTCTAAAGCCAACACTAACCAACTCAAGACAAACTTGCACCAACTATAAAGAAAGCCTAATCCAACTTTCAGCCTAAACCCAGGCTAAGCCAAGTGCAAAACAACGCTTAACCTGCCCTAATCACCCCCGAGCCCAAAACCCATAACCATCACCTCATCCCAAACCAGGCATAAACTCCTGGGTCCATTGCTTCGGCTGCTTTTGAGGATGATCAAAGTCAGAAACCAGTGTTGGTCCCCTTGAACTCTACCACCTTGATAATGGCAAAATAAAAGGAGCCTGAACTAGCTGTACACACACCCCCGAACCCATTCCAAATCAAACCTAAACGCACTCCAATTCAACCTTGTACAAACTTGAAACCGCACATAAATCAAAGCAAACCCGGTCCCAGTGCAAAGCCTAAACAAGCAGCACACACCCCACTCTGAAATAAATCTAAAGCCACCCTCGCAACCAACCATGAGCCGACCCTACATCAAACGTGTCCTGACTCAAATGTTCTGTTTCCTGACCCCTTGGTTTCCTGTTTTGCCTCTGGTTGTTTCCTAACATGCCTCTAGTCGTTTCCTGATTCACCCTCTCACCAAAAAGCGCAGGGCCGCGGGCAGTTGCTCAACGAAAAAGCCTTGCTCAAAGTACAAGGGGCGCCACAATATAGTGAATACCAGGAGTGCACCAAAAACACACATCATACAAGATGAGAGCGGTGACCAAACCGGCCAAAGAGCGCCATAAGCACAAGTTGGGCACAACAGATGCATGCAGTGAAGAGGGGACAAAGAGCCACACAGATGCAATCAAAGGGTGCAAACAGCTAGAAGGACAAACAGCAACACAGACAGCACAGTCTGCCAAAGAACTGGGGCATTCAAGATAATCCTAAACCTTACGAAAGGAAAGAGTGCAGCACGAGTGCAACAGGACACTCTGTCCAACAACTACCATCAGCAATGAGTACAAACAAAACAAGGCACGATAAGTACACAGACAATTGCCCAGTGTGGGGGGGTTCTGACACCAAATGTAGGCGATTCTCAAAGGCCTTAACCTACCCAGAAGCCACACGCAAAAATGTTGAGTTGGGGTACCCTGGAATGTTCCTGTACAACCCCTGTGTAACCCATTTACATTATGAAGTCAGGCACTAAAACAAGCACAGCAAGCACTTTGAAGCACAACGGGCATGAGCTGTACAGAAAATAATCGGCAACAAACAAACAAAGGATACAAACAAGCAAAAGTCATACAAGAAGTGCAAAAAATGCAACAAGTACATCAGGTCGAAGAAGTTCAATAAGCACAATGAGCGCAATAAGCACAATGAGTACAATGAGTACAATGAGTACAGTGAGTGCAGTAAGCACACTATGAGCACTGTGAGATAGAGCGGACTGAGTGCAACAAGTTAAACCTGCACAATTGGTACACATGCAGTGCGTTTCACAAAAGCAGAAAGAACGCAAGTACAACCGGTACACATGCTAAGCTCAAAAGGCAAGCACAAGCATTGAGCAACAGCCCCACCAGGTGTACTGGATACAAAACAGCAAACGCAGAGTAAACTCCAGCAGGTGCAACGTGTACCACCTGCGCAACAGAACAAGCTCAATCAGCACGAAAAGTACAATAAGCATATTGAGTACATTTATATTACAATGAGCAAGGTAGCTGCAACAAGCACATTAGCATGCAGTAAGCACAATGAGTACAGACAGTAAGCGCAACAAGAAAATTGCCCACACCAAAAAGTCAACTACAGTGAGCAAACTGAGGGCAAGAAGCATCGAATATACTACAAGGACAGTAAAAGAATCAAAAAAACAACAGTTCAAAGGAAAGGAGCCAAAGCTGAATGTCATCATTCACTGCTGGATACTCAACGATACTCTGCTCAGGGTCATGCCTGTCAGGACAACGACCAAATAAAGACTCTGATGAAAACCCAAGGATGGCAAGGTCACTCGCACGGTACAACACTGCAAATCAGCAGAAGACCTGCCTGTTGCTGCTGGTTCATTGCCAAAGTGAGCTCCTGCAAAGAATCGCTCTATCTGTTGACCAAATTGCTGGCTGACACATTGGCTGGCCTGGGTAAGGCGAAGCAGCTGGCGTTCAGTCTCGTCACGCTCGTTCAGCAACTGTCATGCAAATCCATCCCCAACTGGCACAAGTATAGACTTTCAAATTTTCCACGGAGGTACGCCCGCCTGGAGCCTTTTGCGTTGGTTCGACGACTTGAAGTGGCTAATGTCATGAAGCTTTGTTTCCAGTGTACGTCTATTCCTCGGGTGCAGGCAAGACCGGGTACCCAAAAAAGCTGCTGGTTGAGACTTGGACGCTGCGCTGGCCTCAACTTGGTCTTTCCTGGCCTCAAGGAGCATGGCCAGGTTGAACAAGTGAAACAGAAAGTTCCTGCCTCCAAATTCCGAGCTGTTTCTGTTAGTGCAGCATCCTGCTGATCGCACACTGTCAGCCTTGCATTTGCGCACGTGTCCGTCTCTCAGCTTGGACTCACATTACGCTTTGCTTCTACGGGCAAGACTCTCTCTTCACTCTGGCCAGCTCGGTCCGATAGGAGCTGAGCCTCAATTCACAGTGGTGAACTTTCATGCTGATTGTCCTCTTGCATCTTTCTCCCTGCCCTGGACCCAGACTGCTTCTGCAAGTCATCCATCTGCGTCTGCAGAACCTTGTGCATGTTGCATCGTGAAGTGGAGCTCCATTGCCACGCTCTTGCCTTCTTTTGGTTCTGAAAGTCATGATGCAATTGGCGAAGCTCCTACGTGCAATATTTTGAGAGGTCTGCTGCTAATCCAGGCGTGGCTGTTCTGTCCTCGACATCGAAGTCGTCTTCACCTTGCAAAAAGTGTCACAACCCTGGGCAGATTCAATGCCTGCAAGGAGTGAAACAGCAGAGCCAAATCAGCCAGGCTACCACCTGTTGGCCGGTCATTTGCTTCTGCCCTCGCGTGCGGAAGAGTCATCCGTGCAGTCCCGCACTCACGCATGCTCAACTGAAGGCCTGGAAGAGAGAGAGAGAGAGAGAGTGATACAAAGAGAGAGAGAGAGAGAGAGAAAGAGAGAGAGAGAGAGAGAGCGAGAGAGAAAAGAGGGAGTGAGAAAGGGAGGGAGAGGGACGGATCAGCCTTCTCAAAAATGCTGTTCCAGTGTCAGCTTGCAGAATTTAGTCGCGCGCCGCTTGGTTCGCAGCACGGACAGCAACTGAGCACGCGAAGGCATGTGTGGACGGGTGACTGCCATGCTGAGGATCCTGCTTGGGAGGAGCGAGTCTTCAACGACTGGATGAGGCTTGCCATGTCATCTTCGATGTTCAGCTTCCTTGCAGCCAAGTGCTAGGTGCCAATGTCAGGGTTTCACTGAGCTAGCCACGATATATTGCAAGCGACTGTGTCCTTGAAAAGTGAAACTGTGAAACTGTTAGAAATATTTGAAATATCCAATCCCTGACATTGTCCTTGTAAAGGGACACCTGGCATGCACACTCTTGTACTTGTTTCCATAGCACCTCACACCATGGCTAGTCCAGCCTGGTCTGGCCCCATGTCATCAGCGTACAACTCTTTGGGCAAGCTTTTGATGCAAACAGGCACCTCAGTTTAGCAGGCAAGAGTGACGCTGCAGTGTGATCAATCTTTGGATGGTGGTGTGCATACAACACTCAGTCCTGAACAGTAGCGTTCTCACCTCCACCGTACTTCTTTTGCGAGCCAATCAAGTAGTAGCCTTCGGATCACAGAGGACGTGATTGGTCTTCACAAATCAAACATAGCTTTGAAATCCAAAAGACTGATTGCTCCCCACACGTACACCTGCGCAGGCACGGATCCCAAAGCTTCAACAGGCGGCTCAGTGCCTCTCCCCTCACCGTGACGCAAGCGGAGCTCTCTGGACCACAGCTGCAGCTTCTTGCACAAAGAGATCCATCCTGCCCAGTTGACCCAGTAGAGATTCCTTCACTGGATGGCATGAACCCTTGGTAGCCCCCAACATGCTGAACAGGAGAATGAACAGCAATGTGCCACGTCTGGTTTTTGCTTTCTGGTCTTCAAAAGTGTGGAGCTGTCCCTATTTTCTGCTTTCCTGAGCCAACATCTGCTGAAACCATCTGCGTACATTCCAAGGCAAACACTCAATGAGTGGTTCCGATGGCAGCTATCGCGTAACAATAAGACTTATTTCCAAAACGGAATCCGTTTCAGAAGAAGTCTGTCTTTTTGGGGAAATTCAAACCCACAAATAAGCCTTCAGATTCCGGCTCAAAAATAGTAAACAGCTCAAGGGCCTTTTAAAAACAGCCTGACATGTGTCTCTTTGCATCCCTGCGTCGCCTGTCCGTTGAATGACTTCACGTATGTTGGAGCGCTGACTGCCTCAGGTTCGATGGAAGTTGATCAAAGCGTCCACACTTGATTTGCAAGCTCCTGGCTAGATCTTCGACAGCCGCATGTGTGTTGAAACCATCAACTCCCAGTTGACCAGCCTGAGCGTCCCCCTCTTCCTCTGTAAGCAAAACATGACTTCTCCAGCAATCCGAGCTAGAGACTCTGTTGTGGCCCCAGGCGTACAGGGCACCCTTTTGGGTCAAGGCGAGGCAATGGTTCCTGTGCTTCGCAGGTCGTTCCTTCTTTGTTCGCTCTAGCCGCAACCACGATAGTCTGCCTGCAAATGGCCCCCTTGTTAACTGCCCAAACAGCTGAGAACTAGCACCAAAAGAAAGCATGAACTACCAAAGCTTCCGACTTCCGACTTCCGACCATACCAATCCAGCACCTCAATAGGTTTAAACACTAGCTGCTTGAGTGCAGTCAAGCGTCAAGCCACAAGCAATCTGAACTATAATTTCTTGCCTGAGCTGCCATGAAGCAAGCGGGTCATGATCACACGACCCTTGACCTTCACGAGGTCCAGACTTGATGCCCGCAATCACTGGAGCTGGCTTCAACATCTTCTCCTGCATCCGCATTGACCGTGCGAGAAGCTGTGTGGCATGTCTCACCTGGTTGTAGCAAACACGTCCCAGCTGCCCGCAATCGTTGTTGGCACCCCTGCCATGCTGGGAGCATATCAAGCTGCAAACAGCACACACACAAAAAAAACGTTTTGCAACTCAATGCGTGCATATTATACATGCACTAGAAACAGATCGGGAGCTCCAGCTGTACAACACTCCTTCATCTGTCAGGAGGAGGGCATGAGCCTTGCCAACAGCAACCTGCAGCAACGCTCAGTGCGGCAAGTGCAGTGAATATTTCACTCAGCCTGCACCACACAGGCGTGGTTGTCTGCTGCTGCAGCCTGACATCGATCTTTCAACATGTCGAGAGCCGTGTCACGTGTTCCGACAACAAACCTTGAGTCCACCACAGGCAGGGACCGCAAAGTCATGGCCGAGTCTATCCAACATCAAATCAAAGTCATGGCCTTGTGCTCGTCAGGCAAAGTCCACTGGACTGGATTTGCTGTGACAGTAAAAACATGCAAGCTTGCCAAGCAAAGAGATTCTGCCAGATATTGCCCTTAACAGCTGACAGCTGCCAAAGTGATGCTCATGTTGCCAACGCAAAGCGCCCAATATCAAGGCGCTCCCTTTGCAAAGCCCGTGCTTCGTTTTTGAACATCTCTTTCCTCCTCAATGGCGTTCTGTTTCCAAACGCGAACTATGACTATGCTATGTCAATCATGTCTACACTTGCTGATGAAAGCATGAATCGCAAATCCCGGAAGAATTGCTTGACAAGAATGCGTTGAGTTTGCTTGCTGCCACCCGCAATATGTTGTCAATCTCACGCATGCTCTGTGAATTAGCACTCAGTGGCTGAGGTATGTCGTTAGCGTGTTCAGCATCACGACCTGACCAATCAAGGACCAAAGATGACCAAAGCCACAAGTTTGCAAACTTCAACTTGCCTTCTTCGGTAGGATGGCTGATGCTCCAAGCCTGACACGTCTGCTCGCAAATTGCAGAACTGAGCTCCAAGCCTGTCGCAGGTTATGACTGCTTGAGCAGCTAGCCTTGAAGTTCTGGATGCTTAATCTATCTTGATTGAGCCTCAGCCGCTTGCTTTCTCATCCCAGTGCTCAAGTCCTTGCAACTTCTGTCGAGCCACCATAGATGGTGCGCACAAACATGAATGTGGCACTGAACCTTTGCGGATCGCATGATGATCACCGTGCTTCAAGCGAATCACCACGAGCACTTGCACCACATGACTTGTCTGCGTTGGAAACGAAATTGCCCTGGCATGCAGCTGCAGCCAAGTATCCCAATGGCACCCGTGATAAGCGCGAAAGTGTAGGAAATGACAAACCTTGGCTCTGGTGTGTGCACAATGTCAATCCTTCGATTTGTGCTGGGAAAGCTTAGGCAGGAGGCATGTAGCCAAAGTACAGCAAAGCACCCACATAATGCCCAATCCTTAGTGCCCAATGCATTAAATACACACATTCTCGCTCGGTTCTTGTGTCTCAGGCTGCATACGGGTGAAGTAGTACAAGCCTCGTGCGATACATTATGTTTGCATCTTGAAGCACAACATAAGGCAGGTGCAAGAATATGCAAACACATAGAGCGCGGAAGACGCGCTGGTGAAGAAGGATCGCCACCACCAGTTATAATCCTGCACAGGGTACTTTTCAATTTCAGCCAGAGATGCAAAGCGCCTGACATAAGCCAGGGTCATCCAACCTAAACAAAGGTTGAAGAGCAGCCCAGCAACAACAAGATCCGCTTATTGTTTCTTATTCCTGGAACATATAGCAGTACGAAACAACGCCAACCCAGCAATTCACAGCATGAGCCAGTGCACCTATCAGCAAGCAGTAAAGTGTTGTCAGCCTCAAAACACCCCCAAAAAAAATGTGTATGTACATACGCATGTAGAGCGGGAGAGATATACAGAGATAGAGAGATAGTGAGGGGCTCAGGGTGGCAAGTGCATGACGCGGCCGTAGAAACACAGTAAGTATCAAGAAATTGAAGCGGCTGCAGCTGGCGCTCACATTCTCGCCCACCTCCTGCACAGCATGTGTTGCACACTACTATCTTTCGTTCCTGTCCCGTTTTGCTTTTTTCTTCTTCGGTCCTCTACTCTATGGGCGCGCATTTATTTTTTGGGTTGTTGCCTTTTCTTGCTTTCTTGGAAAGCAAAATGCTGTAAATGCCAGCGTTTACGCTGTTAACAGGGCTCCAAACAAGAAAAACAAAACAAAAAGAAAAACAATACACAAGGAAAAAATAACACAAGGGGTTGGGGGGGAAAAATAGTAAAAGGAGAATTCAAAGAATTATTCTTTCTACTATTTTTTTCCAACAGCAACACAACAAACAGAAAACAAAACCCAGAACAACAAGCAAACAAAATAAATAATCACAACCACCAACAAAAATATTTAATCACAGCATGCAACATTAAATAATTCAAACAAGCATACCAACAAAACAGCAACACTCTAAATCATCAAAGAACCCAAACTCAAAAACACACATCAACAAAAATCAAAGCAACATACCAACAAAAAATATCACAAGAGCATCAAACAAAACAAAAACAAACAGCCAAAGCACGAACAAATTGAAGAAGCATGCCAAGTCTAAACAACGCACTTTGAAAGAGACAAGCAAATTAGGAAAATATAATATTTCAATCTTTACAAACGATAAATATATTACAATTATAACATATAATATTTTACATGTGATAATCATAGTATGATTAAACCTGTTTTTAGTGTTTCCAGTCTCCTATGTTGTTCCAAGAACTGCTCAAAATGTTTCTGATATTATACCAGATTAAGTTAACGTCATAATCTTTCATTGGTGCTCTTTGTTGTATTAAATAACGCACCACTGATACCAAAGTATAATAATTACAATGCATTGTTGTCATTCCTCCTCTTTCATTAATACTATTACCATTACGTTTAACGAGTTCTTCTTTCATTATGTTTTCGTAAATCTCTTTTATCCATTGATGATTTTGTTCTCCATACTCAGTGAACATATCTGGATATATATCTTTCATTGTTTTATCGTTTTTAATTATTTCAATGACTTGTTTATACGATGGATAGGGATTATCCTTAATGAATCTCAATATTATCTTTCTATCCTGTTCCAGCTCTTTTTCTGTCACTCCTATCATTGGCATTTTCCTCTTATTATATTAAGTATTTATTCCTTTAAGTCATTTTACATTATAATTATAACATATAAGGGTATAAATGTTATAATCATAGTATGATTAAGAATTATGGGTTAAACATAAAAATCTGCTATTTCTTGCAACATCACTATCTTCAGTGAATAGCACCTCATTTAACTTGTCAGCAATTTCCATTTCAGAAACACCTGTTCCAAAAAGCCATTTCCAAAACGGAAACACCTGTTCCAAAAAGCCATTTCCAAAATGGAAACACCACTAAACATGTATTATTTCCTCATCCAAAATACCACTCTGAAATGTCCTGTTTCCAATTAGGAAATACCGGTGTCCAATACCAGTTTCCAATTAGGAAATACCAGTTTCCAATTAGGAATACCAGTTTTCAATTAGGAAATACCGGTGTCCAATACCAGTTTCCAATTAGGAAATCCCAATTTCCAAAATCTGAAACCAAAGTTTCTTGATTGGAAATCACTCAGGAAATGTCAAACTCACTAAGATTTCACAAATTAATTCGCTAGGTATTTTGTATAGGTCTTCCTGCTTATGTATTGTTGGATTGTCTCCCCATTGTTCCTTGTTTCCACTTGGCAAACGTTGCGCAGTTTCAATATGTTTATTATTCCTGATGTTACCACAATCCTTTTTACATAATTCTCTAGGTTTCCAAGTTGTAATGTTATTCCAGAGCCTAGTGCGTTTTCTGTAAGGCATTCCATATTTACAATAATCTACATCTTTAAAATCAAACTCATCCATAAACTCCTGATGTTTCAATAATCCGGTTTGTGGGTTTTCGATTACAAAATATTTAGGATTGAAATATTTGATAATCTCAATAGTTTTTAAGACAATATTATTTGCATATTCGATATTCCTAATTCCCTGAGTTTTTGCTATGCTGTATTCAGCGCATGGTGGACTACTCCAAATAAAATCAAAATGGTTTCTGTCAAACTGTTTGTAATCCCACTCCAAAATATCAGTGTTGATATCAGCATTTTTCAAGTCTAATGATATTACATTAAATCCAAGCGACTTTGCTATGGTTCCGACGCTTTTTGTTCCACTAAATAATTCTAATAAGTTCATTTATTAGAATTATTTAGATTATTAATTATTCAAATAATACATATACTCCATCATCATTTTTTGAAATTTTATAAAATTCTAATGTTTGTTGCTTTGGTTGTTTGATTTTTCCTGTATTCAACATATCACAGTATTTCTTTTGCTTTGTAGGATAATCACCCGTTGGTCTTCCTATAGATTTTGCTTGAAATATCTTTTCGATTTTTTCTTTATCTTCATTGCGTTCAACTGGTTTCATTTTGTCATCAATCGATTTAATCATATCATTTAAGGTTTTGATATTTTTACCAATTAATGTTATCTTCTTCATTAAATCATTAATAGTATAATTCTCATTTTCAGACATTACTATATATTTATTTAGATAATTATTTATTTATTATACAATTTACCTGAATAATTTAATGTTATATATGTAAATAAATTATATTCTAAGAGTCTTTCATCAATTTTATTTTTCAATTTTATTAAACCTTCATAGTTACCTGTAATTTCAAAAAACTTCAACATTTTATCAAATTTATCCGGTTTAGTTATACCTTTCATAAAATATTTATTATTAAATTTAGCATCTAACCAATAAAAATATTCTATACTCAATTGTCTAGCAAAGTTTTTATCACCATCGAATATATCATTAATTTCTTCATCATCAAAAGTTATAATTCTATGATCTTGCCCATTCATAGTTGGCATTATGATTATATAAATAATTAGATATTTATTTATTTATTTAATTATATATATTTATAAAGTGCAATTATGTTAAATCTACTCTTTAAATACTAATTTTCATGATTTGTTTAATAGTTTCCTGAGTTTCCTTATCACCATTTCCCGAGAGTGATGCATCCTTACCCCATTTAAAAGTTATACTATGGACATCAGTTTCTAAGTTGATACTGTCTTTAGTTTTATCAATATTCATTTTCTTATCATTTTTACTTATTTTGAAACTTGTTGGAATACATGAACATTTACAACTTTTATTATTTTTTATTTGTAATTCATTCTTAAGTTCTAACATTCTTTTGCATGTAGGACAAACAACCTCAATAACTGATGTTTCTTTAACAATTTCTTCATCAGTTGATGAAACACTTAAACCTGTCTTATTCTTTTTGTTTTTCTTTTTTCCCATTTATATTATTATTTATATTTTTAATATATTGTATCAAAAACTTAATTAATTCTAAAATAAAATAACATATTTTTTACATCTATTATCAGTTATTAGTACTTGTTCTATATTCTCCATTTCATCTATTATATTAATATAATCTGTATAACTCCTTTTCATATTAAATAATAAGATAAATTATTTTTCATTTCTGTCTTTCTTTTCCTGTAAAGTTTTTTCATTGTATCGTCTTTATTCCATCTATATTCTACAAATCTCTGATGATTTTTTGAATTTATATGTTTAAATAAATATTTGTCATCATAAGTTTTACCACAACTGCAATGGATAATAGTCATATAAATAATAAGATAAAATAATTATTTAATCTTATTATTTTCATGCATAATAGAATATTGGTGGGGCACAGCACTTGGGGTTTTCATTGCACACGCGAGCAAGACACAAAACTAATTAGCTTCAATGCTTATTGATTGAAAACAATGGAAAGCCTGTTCCATTTTTATGATATTCACTGCCAGCATATCATAAAAAAGATGTTCCATTAATATTAAATAGAATATGTATTTAAACTATTTTCTTTAGTAAGTTTTACTGCAGTTGATATACTAACATCTAGAATATTATTATTAATAATTTCTTGTACACTATTTATCATTTCATTTGTATATATATAGGAATAATCTTTCATAAAATTTACTAATTTATTATAATTTAGGGTATCCTCGTTTTCGATTGATGATTTAGATATTATAATATTTTGTTTTTTAATTATCGATAAAAACAACAAAATCGTATCATAATATACTTGGCCAGTATCTGGAACTAAAATATCACCAAATTTATATATAGTTCGAATACTATCTACTTCACTTAAATTAATAGATTCTCTTAGCATTATGATATAATTATATTATATTTTTTATAAGTATTTTTAATATTATTTTTATTATGCCTGATGTAAAACCAATTGATGAAATCAAATATGACTTTAAGCAAAGCAAGCACGAGGTCGTCCCTAAATTGCCGATGAGAGCTATGATCGTCGGCCCGTCTGGTTCTGGAAAATCAACTTTACTTGTATCAATGATACTTGATATTTATAGAGGCGCATTTGAAAGAATTTTTATCTGGTCTCCATCTGTAAATTTGGATAGTATTTGGTTGCCAGTGAAGAAATACATTAAGGAAGGTTTGAAAGTAGATAATGATAAAGAACCGT